GATGTCCCAGAAGGCTTTGTAGAACTCTACAGTGAGGCCGTCGATGCCTGGAGCCTTTCGTCCCTGCATGCTCTGCAGTGCCGCGTAGAGCTCTTGTGGAGTCAGTGGGCTGTCGAGCTGCTGGTTAGCCTCTCTAGACACCTGAGGAAGTCCACCACAGACCTCCTCCATCAGTTCCTCGTTCTCCTTGAACTCACTCTCAAACAATGAGGCGTAAAACTCCACAGCTCTTTTCCTTATCAGGCCTGGCTCTGTCAGCTCTTGCCCTGTCTCAGAGAGCAGAGAGTGAATTTGTCTCCTCTGCCCTTGTTTCTTCTCAAGCCCAAAGAAGAAACTCGATGGAGCATCCATCTCCGTGATGTTTTGAACCCGGGACCGGACCAGCGCACCCTGTACTTTAGTGTCCAGCAGGTTGGCTAATGCCATCTTTTTAGTCTTGAGGATTTCAATATATCCTCGATTTCCTGTGGACTCACTTGTACACTCGAGATCCACAATATCAGTCTCCAGATCTCTGATAGATCTGGTGATGTCGCGTGTGACATTGAGCGTGTGCTGCTGACATAAAAGTTTAATTTGAACCTTTCCATGGTCCCACCACTGCCTCAGACTGACAAACTCGGTTTTTTTCTGTTTAAAATCATTCCAAAAATAACTTAAAGCCTCCTTGAAAGATTTATCAACAGTTAAAACAGAGTTAAAATGCCAATAGGCACTTTTGGGTAAAATGTTTCTGATAAAAACATTACATAAAACCAAAGAATGATCAGTAAAACCAACTGGTAAAATCTTACACATTTTAACAACACTGACTCTGTGCTTAAAAACATAAAAACGATCAAGTCTGGCCAAAGAGATTCTGTTTTCTCTAACGTGGGACCATGTGTACTGTCTGCAGCCTGTGTGCATCCTTCTCCACACGTCCACCAGGCCATGGGAGGAGACCAGCTGCCTCAAGGCATGCTGGGATACTGGATGAGGCTCTGCATGGTTGCGATCTAAAATCTCATTTTCAGTACAATTAAAATCCCCACCCACAAATAAATAATCCTCCGGGCCACAGCTGTTTAAAATGTCATTCATATTTTCAAAGAAGTGTTTCCTCTCTGCACCGTTGTTTGGAGCATAAATGTTGATAAAAACCACATTAAAATGTTCAAAACGAGCTCTGACTAAAAGACACCTCCCCTCCACAACATGCCTGACCTCCAGAGAGGTTGGAGTAAAACCTCTGGAGAACAGGAAGCCCACTCCTCCACTGAGGGTGGTGTTATGGCTTAAAATCAGTTCTCCTTCCCATTCTCTGCTCCAGTCTGCCTCGTTTCCAACATCACTGTGAGTTTCTTGTAGAAACAGAACATCAATATGTTTCATTTTAGCCGTTTCAAACACTACTGCTCTCTTTCTTGTTTCTCTGGCACCATTGACATTCAGACTGCCCACTTTAAAAACATTCATAATGATGGAGATGTTAAGAACAAGACTAAAAACAATCAATGAAATAAATAAGAATAAAATCCCTACATTCACCATCATTAAAAACTGAGTTGTTTTCTGACTTTAATAATCAGTTTTTTCAGTCTGAATATTTCTTGGTCAGTCAGCTCTGACTCTGCTCTGTGTTTCACAGTATACCTGGCTGAGTTATAGAAACCCTGCATATCAGGGAAGTACCGCTCTAACACTGGCTTCCTCATCCCTTTGGTCTGTTGTAAAAAAGACTTCAGTACATTGGCAGTATACACCTGAGCAGCAGCCTGCTGAGTGTGAGACAGGTCACTGCTGTCAGACACACACCCTTCACTGTCACTGCTGTCAGATAGAGCTGCTCTGTTCTCTGCAGTACTCGGTTTACCGGCCAGACGTCCGGCTTTACCACCCACCTCCACGGTCAACATGCTTCTCCTCTTACTGCGCTGTTTAAGAGGAGCAGACCCCCACCCAGACTCACAGGCCTCCATCTCTTCAGCCTCAGCTACTGTGCTCCCCTCACTCAGCTCCCCTGCTAATTTACCTGTCTCACACGACTCACCTACAGCCTCACCTGCCTCTTTCACCTTACCTGCTTCACACTGTTTACCAACAACCTCAAATCCTTCACACAACTCACCTGTTCTTTTACCTGCCTCACCCAACTCACCTACAACCTCACCTACCTCACCCAACTCACCTACAACCTCACCTGCCTCACCCAACTCACCTACAACCTCACCTGCCTCTTTCACCCCACCTGGTTCACCTACCTCTTCTAGTTCACCTGTTACTTTACCTGCCTCACCCACTTCACCAGGAACCTCACCTGCCTCTCCACCGACACCTGTTTCACCCACATCCTCGACCAATTCACCTGCATCTTTATCTAAAATACCACCTGTCACCCCCACCTTACCTGTCACCTCACCCGTTTCCCCTCCCACCTCCTCCCTCTCACTACTCACCTCAGTGCTCCCTCCAGCCTGGCTCTGCATCTCTTCCACCTGTTTCTCTGCAGCTCCTGCTTCTTTTTCTTGCCCTGCGGCACCGGCCCCCCACCGGCCACCGCGGCCGACCGCCGCACCGCCGGAACGGGGCCGGCGGTCGGCCGCGGCAGCGGCGGGTACCGCGCGAAACCCCGCAGGAGCAGGCGGCGCGGGCGCGGCAGCCGCCGCCGCCGCGCCCGCGGCAGCCGCCGCACCGCGGCTCGGACAGGCCTTAATCAAATGTCCCTCTTCGCCACATCCGAAACATTTAACAGTGGATGATGTTGCAAAGAGAATGTACTCAAAATCATCCACACGGACTCTGAACCGGTAATCAAATTCTTCATTTTTGTTGTTGAGCAACATGAAGAGCTGTCTGCGGTGAGACACTACATGTCTCAGGAGGGGAGACTTACAGCCCGACAGCACTTTTCTTATTGGTGACACCACCTTTCCATGTCTGGACAGCTCTTTAATCAAGAATTCATCACTGATGAACGGAGGAACGTTTGATAAAGTGACCCTTGTAGCCGGCTGTATCAGCGGTATCACCGGCTCAAACATCCCATTCACCGTAATGCCCGTCTCCACCAACCTGTTCACCTGTTCCACCTTCTCCAGGAACAGAACCACCGCACTGTTCATCCGGGCAGCGGACTTCACAGAGCCGTGCCCGATGATTTCCCCCACGGCCAGTGCTACCTCCTCCACCCTGCACGGAGAACCGGCTCCGGTTTTAATACCGTGCTTCCGTGTCAGCCTGGAGAAAACGCTGCTGGACGCCATACCGGCGCCTCAGAGCGAGGCTGACAAACAACAAACAAACACTAAACTAACCAACAAACAACCAAACACCAACCAAAACAACACTAAACTAACACAACTACATTCACAAACACAACACAACGAAAATCTACCGAAAGAAAGAAATAGAAAGAGAGAAAAACACTCAATTTCATCCAACTCTTCCACTCACACTCACACTCACACTCCACTCAGAGACAGAGAGAGACTGAGAGAGAGACAGACAGGCAGAGAGAGAGACAGGCAGGCAGAGACAGAGACAGACAGGCAGAGAGAGACAGAGAGAGAGAGGCAGGCAGAGACAGAGAGAGAGACAGACAGGCAGAGAGAGAGAGACAGACAGACAGAGAGAGAGACAGGCAGAGAGAGAGAGAGACAGGCAGAGAGAGAGACAGGCAGAGAGAGAGAGACAGGCAGAGAGAGAGAGAGAGAGAGAGAGACAGGCAGAGAGACAGAGAGAGAGACAGGCAGAGAGAGAGACAGATTCATTATCATCAATAATAAAACTAAGTGTTATAGTACCTGTCTGTCTACCTGTCTACCTGCAGATGAACATGTGATCAGCTCAGTTTAAAATATCGATCATTAACAGGTAAACTCGCTTCTTTGATACATTGAACCCGTTATCAAACGTCACATTCTTCAGTTCGGCGACACACTGATTCTGTATTGATTCTGTATTGATTCCGTATTGATTCTGTATTGATTCCATATTGATTCTATATTGATTCTGTATTGATTCCGTATTGATTCTGTATTGATTCCATATTGATTCCGTATTGATTCCGTATTGATTCTATATTGATTCTATATTGATTCCGTATTGATTCCATATTGATTCCATATTGATTCTGTATTGATTCCATATTGATTCCGTATTGATTCCATATTGATTCCATATTGATTCTGTATTGATTCCATATTGATTCCGTATTGATTCTGTATTGATTCCGTATTGATTCTGTATTGATTCCATATTGATTCCGTATTGATTCCATATTGATTCCGTATTGATTCTATATTGATTCTATATTGATTCCGTATTGATTCCATATTGATTCCATATTGATTCCGTATTGATTCCATATTGATTCCGTATTGATTCCATATTGATTCCATATTGATTCCATATTGATTCCGTATTGATTCCATATTGATTCCGTATTGATTCCGTATTGATTCCACCACAGTGAACCTCTATCAGACCCATGCTCTCTGGGGTTCCGGTGCTCCCTCCCCGGTGTAACACAGACTCCGGTACCGACCTGCTCTCGACCTCCGCTGGGTCCGAAATGTTCGTCTCCTTCTTCACTTTCACTTCCGCCATTTTATCTCCGTTGTGTCGGTTAGCCTGTCTGTCTGTTAGCCTGTCTGTCTGTTAGCCTGTCTGTCTGTTAGCCGGTCTGTTAGCCTGTCTGTCTGTTAGCCGGTCTGTTAGCCGGTCTGTCGGTTAGCCGGTCTGTCTGTTAGCCTGTCTGTCGGTTAGCCTGTCTGTCTGTTAGCCTGTCGGTTAGCCTGTCTGTCGGTTAGCCTGTCTGTTAGCCTGTCGGTTAGCCTGTCTGTCGGTTAGCCTGTCTGTCGGTTAGCCTGTCTGTCGGTTAGCCTGCTGGCTAATGTTGTCAGACAGACATGCTAGTTCGGGGTCCTCAACAGCTCGCTGCCTGCAGGAGTCCCAAACACTGCCTGATGACAAACACATTCTTCTTCTGGTTTTACGGCTTTTTGGTTCAATACCGCCCCCTGCTGGTCCGGAGGGTGAATCAGATATACATATATATATTTATCTCTATTTATATTATTATAATATAATATAATATATATATAGCGGCTGTCTGCTCGCGCATGCGCGCTGGGCAGAGCTGGTTGCCATGGTGACTGTACACATCCGCTGGACTCGGAGCCGTTTGTCTCGTCCGGATCATCTGAAGTAAGATTATCGTTTATTGATTGTTTCTGATTGATTCTTTTCTTCATCTAACGGACATGCGCAGTGCGACGTTTGTTTACTGTTGTTCTGTCTCATTTAGCGCGAGGACACAAACAAACAACAAACAACAAGTCAGTGGGTTTGTTTTTATTCCGGTGTATCCCGGGCGGGCGGGCAGACAGTGGTTGAAAGTAGGGGGTCGGGCCCGGGCCGCTGTGTACGTGGGCCGCCCACTTTATGTCCCTTTGATGGATTATTATTATTATTGTCAGTGTTATTGATAAAGAGACCGAACGGAGTGAACAATGAAATAAATATTATATATATAATATAAACATATTTAATTCAAGTTCAACTGAAAACTAAATCAAATAAATGAAGAGAGCAGAAATAACAAACATGGTGCCCCAGACTGGCCCAAACAGGCCCACATATACATAACAATATGTTTCTGATTGATTGATTGATTGATTGATTGATTGACAGACAGTCGTCATCATGACAGCAGGAGCGGTGTCAGCTCCGCTCATCATTCCCATCATCCACCTGCAGTCACACAGAGTGAAGAACCACATCGACACCACCACACCTGTCTCCATCCAGTCAGGTACAAACACTCACCTGTTCCTGAGTCCCCCCCCCCACTGGCCGAAGTACTGACAGGTTGATCTGACTCTGCAGACACTCGTGGAGCGTCGATCTTCTACACTCTGGATGGATCGAGGCCGGCGGCGGTGCAGCGGGGGTCGGCGGGCAGCGGCAGGAAGTACAGCGAACCCATTCTGCTGCCTGCTGGTCGGGTGGCTGTCAGAGCTGTAGCGGTCACCAGGTAACCACTCACCTGACAACAGCCTCCTGTACTGCTTCTGGCCATCTACTGTTCACTCACATCTGTCTGACTGTTTGTCTATCTGTCTGACTGTCTGTCTGACTGTCTATCTGTCTGACTGTCTGTCTGTCTGACTGTCTGTCTGACTGTCTATCTGTCTGACTGTCTGTCTGACTGTCTGACTGTTTGTCTATCTGTCTGACTGTCTATCTGACTGTCTATCTGTCTGACTGTCTGTCTGTCTGACTGTCTGTCTGACTGTCTATCTGTCTGACTGTCTGTCTGACTGTCTGACTGTTTGTCTATCTGTCTGACTGTCTGACTGTTTGTCTGACTGTCTGACTGTTTGTCTATCTGTCTGTCTGTCTGTCTGACTGTCTGTCTGACTGTCTGACTGTTTGTCTATCTGTCTGACTGTCTGTCTGACTGTCTATCTGTCTGACTGTTTGTCTATCTGTCTGACTGTCTGTCTGACTGTCTGTCTGACTGTTTGTCTGACTGTCTGACTGTTTGTCTATCTGTCTGACTGTTTGTCTGACTGTCTGACTGTTTGTCTATCTGTCTGACTGTTTGTCTGACTGTCTGACTGTTTGTCTATCTGTCTGACTGTCTGTCTGACTGTCTATCTGTCTGACTGTTTGTCTGACTGTCTATCTGTCTGACTGTTTGTCTATCTGTCTGACTGTCTATCTGTCTGACTGTCTGACTGTTTGTCTATCTGTCTGACTGTCTGTCTGACTGTCTATCTCTATCTGTCTGACTGTTTGTCTGACTGTCTGTCTGTCTGACTGTTTGTCTGACTGTCTGTCTGTCTGACTGTCTGTCTGTCTGTAGTGACGGCAGAGAGAGCTCCACAGTGACGAAGGTTTTCTCGGTTGAACTTGTGGACGGAGGGAACAGGAGGGAGAACGAGGAGAACTTCCTGCAGAGCGACCAGCAGGTATGTTTCTCTGTGAGCTGTGACAGAACTCTGAGTTAATGTCCTCCAGTTCTTCATTCACCAGTCAATAGTTTTCTTTTCAGCGCCCGTCTGAAGGAACTTCGTGGATCGCTGAGAACTCTGCTGGTTCCTCACTGAGGCCTCCAGGTATCATAAATATATCATAAAAATATAGTTCCCCTGCTAAATACTGCAGTACTGATACGTCCTCTGTCTTCTCTAGAGTCTGATGTTTCAAATATCAGTCTAATCAGGTCCATGTGTTTAGCTTAGCTTAGCACAAAGACTAAAAGCAGGGGGAAACTGCTAGCCTAGCTAAAAAGGAAAAAGAAACAAAAATCAGTTGTAAGTATTACAAATCGACTGACGCTGTGATATTGCTTCACTTTATTCTTCCTGTTCTGTTTGTCTTCAGAGCCGAGGATGATGGGTAACGCCTCTCTTCAATCAGGTCCTCGTTTTCTGAGCAGTCGATTGGACTCTCCGACCACCGCGGCGCAAACTGGAACTTCCCGACGTTCCCAGTCAGCGGTAAACAAAC